TCCCCACAACTTCCTGGGAAAATTCAAGCAGTCAACAGAATTTCTTCAACTTGTCTGTGTGGCAAACTTTCCCCTAATTCCCTGGAAAGCTGCCTGGTGAATTTTGATCCATTATTGGAGAAATCTTCATGAGATTGCTCAGAGCAGCAGGAAGCCCTGCAGCCCTGGAGCTGCACAGATTAAGGAACTAAAATGAGATGCAGGATATATCAAAGACAGAGATCTTTGTTAAAGTTAGCTTCCCCACTTGCTCCTTGAGACATGATCTCTGTGTAAATCATTTGGATTTACAGCAGTGTAAATGTAAATAATTTTGATTTATTTGGGGTTTTTTTTTGTGTAAATAGGTTTTTTATTATCTCTTATAAACTGCCACTCACTTCCCTCTCCTCCATTTCCAGCCTTGCTTTCCATGCTCTCCCCTCTTTAACAGTTTCTCTCCTCTTTAGGCTGAGTCTAAAGATAATTTTTTCCTCTGGTTCAGTAGGTTAATTTTTAATTAAAACACACTTTGCCTCCTTAAATCTGATGGATGCCTCGGACAAAGAACAAGTCCTTGGATCAAGCAGGAACAAGCTCATGAATTTGGGGTTAATTTGGTGGAAATTCAAGGTACTTCATGCATTATTTTGTCTCCTTTCAGTGATTCTGGGCTCTCTTATGTGCCCACATCTCACTCAAATCTGTGCCTCAATCCCAGCCTTACCCACCCATGGAATTATTTTATCCAAGCACAATTATTTGAACCCTCTGCCTGAATTTGAACTTTTTTTTTTGAGAAGTGTTTCAGCATGCGAGCAGCTCAGACTTAATTCCCCACCTCTCTTTTCCTGGGAGGTAAAAGAGGAATTCTCCTCTTTTATTTCATAAATAGTGATTTCATAAATAGTGATTTTCATAAATAGTGACACCAGTGACTCAGCCAGGCAATCAGCAAGTGAAGAACTGAGCCCTAAATTCACCCCAAACCTCTTTCCAGCACATCCCACTAAATTCTTCCAGCTAAAAACACCCATAAAGGACATTATTACCCCAAAATCAAGGGCATTATTATCCCAATAAAGGACATTATTACCCCAAAATCAAGGACATTATTATCCCAATAAAGGAGATTATTACCCCAAAATTGAGGACATTATTATCCCAATAAACGACATTATTACTCCAAAATAAAGGACATTTTTATCCCAATAAAGGACATGATTACCCCAAAATCAAGGGCATTACTATCCCAATAAAGGAGATTATTACCCCAAAATCAAGGACATTATTACCCCAAAATCAAGGACATTATTATCCTGACAAAGGAGATTATTACCCCAAAATTAAGGACATTATTATCCCAAAATCAAGGACATTATTATCCCAATAAAGGAGATTATTACCCCAAAATTAAGGAGATTATTACCCCAAAATCAAGGACATTATTATCCCAATAAAGGAGATTATTACCCCAAAATTAAGGAGATTATTATCCCAAAATAAAGGACATTATAACCCCAAAATAAAGGACATTATTACCCCAAAATAAAGGACATTATTATCCCAATAGAGGACATTATTACCCCCAAATCAAGGACATTATTACCCCCAAATCAAGGACATTATTATCCCAATAAAGGAGATTATTACTCCAAAATAAATGACATTTTTATCCCAATAAAGGACATTATTAGCCCAAAATAAAGAACATTATTATCCCAATAAAGGACATTATTAGCCAAAAATAAAGAACATTATTAGCCCAAAACCGAAGTGTGGCTCCCTCTCAGCAGGCAGAGACAGCACTTACACGGATTTGCAGAGGGACAGCTTTTTCCTCAGGGAGGAGACGCAGGGGTGGCACACCTGCCTGGCCGCCGTGCCGCAGGACGCTGTGCCAGGGCAGGGCTGCTGGACCATGGCAGCCTGTGCCAGCCCTGCAGGCAGCAGCAGCACAGCACCCACAGCTCAGAGGAAGGGTGGGCAGAGAGCCCCAAGTGCATCCAGAGCAGGGCGGGAGGTTCAATCTGCTCCTCACGCCTCCAGGAGCCGCCCCGGGGATCCCTGGCTGAGGAGCGAGCTGCGCCTTTGGTGGAGATCCTGCCTGGGAGGGTCCCAGCCATGCTCAGCTGCGTGTCCTGCCTTCTTTCATCTCGCAATCGGCTCAGCAGCTCTTTGCTCTAGGCTGGGGCAGCTCCTGTCAGCAGGTGCAGCTCGTTCCCTGCCCGGAGCACCCCGGGCTCCTCCTGTTCCTGCTCGTCTCTCTCTGGGATGCCAGGGCAGTGTGCCAAGGCAAGGTGCACCTTGCAGGGCACAGCACCTGCTCCCTGCCCTCCCTTCTGCTCACATCCTCCAGCTCTGGTGAAATCCTGGGTGTGGGAACCCAGCACATCCCTCTGTCTGTCCTGAGCAGCCCAGACCCTGCCAGGGGGCTCAGAAGCCCAGAACACCTGTGGGTTTGATTATGACCCATGGAGCAAATTACCAACCTTGTATGAAGATCTGCAAGCCACAACAGTTTAGGAAGAATAGTAGTGAAGTTATCACAAGGTGGAAAAGTAGATTTTGGGGTTTTTGGTATGGGGGCTCAGGAGGCAAGATGGAGGGATCTGGGCATGTCCAGCCTTTCTCCTTCTTCTTCTTGGCCTCCATCTTCTGCTGTGATGGTGGCACTTTGGGATTGGTTCAGAGCAGAAGCTCACTGTCTAACACAGGTGAAATCCTGGGTGTGGGAACCCAGAGCATCCCTCTGTCCAAGACCCTGCCAGGGGGCTCAGAGACCCTCGCACAGAGCCCAGAACACCCCTGTGGGTTTGATTATGACCCATGGAGCAAATTACCAACCTTGCATGAAGATCAGCAGGCCACAACAGTTTAGGCAGAATGATAGTGAAGTTATCACGAGGTGGAAAAGAAGATTTTGGGGTTTTTGATATGGGGGTTCAGGAGGCAAGATGGAGGGAACTGGGCATGTCACAGACATCTTTTATGGAAAATCCTTTCCTTAGGATTTTTCCTCCTGAGAAGCTGGGAGGCCTCAGGAACAAAATGTAAACAATGGTTATCTGCTGCTGTGGAATGCAACAGGTGCATCTGGGATTGGTCTCGTGTGGTTGTTTCTAATTAATGGCCAATCACAACAGAGCTGGCTCAGACAGAGAGCCGAGACACAAGCCTTTGTTATCATTCCATTATTTTTCTATTCTTAGCCAGCCTTCTGATGAAATCCTTTCTTCTATTCTTTTAATATATCATAAAATAATAAATCAGCCTTCTGAAACATGGAGTCAGATCCTCGTCTCTTCCCTCATCCTCAGACCCCTGTGAACACCATCACATCCAGCCTTTCTCCTTCTTCTTTTGGCCTCCATCTTCTGCTGTGATGGTGGCACTTAGAGATTGGTTTAGAGTAGAAGCTCACTGTCTAACACAGGTGATTGGTATTGGGAAGTTATGGTAAAAAGTGTACATGTAGTTTTTAGTATAAAGACATAACACTGCCCTGGGGCAGGCAGAGTGCCTGGAACTGTCCTGCTGGATGGACCTCGGCAGGGCAGGAGAAAATTTTTCATAGATAAGGAACAATAAACGACCTTGAGATCGAGAAATGAAGAGCCCTGACTCCTTCTTCAAGCAGCAGGCTGGGAAAAGAGACTTTTAACATCTCTTGGGGTCACTCTGACCAGCTGTGGGATTCCAGCTGAAATGGAATTTCAGATGCCCTCAGAACCCCCCTGCTCTGCTGTCCCACTCCATTTCCTGGCTGCAAGCACTCACCTGCCAGTCAATTAAGGATGTTTTGTTAATTAGTCTCGGCTCCACAGCCATGGGGAGATGGGTAATTGGAGGAGGAGGTGAGCTACAACTCCCAAGTGCTGATTCTGAGCCAAAACCCCTCATGGGATGTGCAATTTTAATATGGGATATTAATTGGTTCCTTAGGGTCGAGTGAGTTAATTCCTGCTGTTTCAGGGGCTGGCTGCATTTTCCCACTTTCAAGCTGATGAAAAATGCAGATTTTTAAACATTTCTAAACCAAAATAAATCACATTTCTTCTTATATAACTCTGAGAAACGCAAGGAAAATAAATCAGTGATAACTCATGGTTCAGCACAAGAAAACTCAGCAGATTCAGGCTCAAAACTTGACCTAGAAGATGCAGCAAAACTCCTCATCATGTGGCTCTGAGCAAAGCAACACCCATAAATCATGCACCCAAAGAAACACCAAAAATCAGTTTTCAACAGCTTTTGTGCCAATGCTGCAATTTGAAAGTGTCATTAATCAACCCAAATTAAAGTTTCTCCTGGAACTTCGCTGCAGTTCTCGCCCAGGTGCTGCACACAAGTTAACCCAGCTTAAATCTGGAGTTCAGGATTGCCACAAAACATCAAAAGTGAACAAAACCACAGAGTTCAGGATTGCCACAAAACATCAAAAGTGAACAAAACAACCAAGCTTCCTTTGCTGAGGAAAGGATCCACCCAGGACGTTCCATCTGTGGGATTTTAAGGCTCAGAGGTGCTAATTGCTAACAGCACACAGCACATCTGATGAAGCTGCTACAGCAGCTGGAGTTTGGGGAATGAGCCCCAAAAGAAAATTCTGGCTATTTCAGGGGCTGGATGCATTGTGCCATGTTCAAGGGGATGAAAAATGCAGATTTTTAGACTGAAATTCTGTCTGGATTCATTGTCCTATGATCAAGGTGATGAAAAATCAGCTTTTTAGATAGAAATTCTGGCTGGATTTATTGCCCCACATTCAAAGTGATGAAAAATCAACTTTTTAGACAAAAATTCAGGCTGGATTCATTGCCCCACATTCAAAGTGATGCTAAATCAGCTTTTTAGACAGAAATTCTGTCTGGATTCATTGCCCCACATCCAAGGTGATGAAAAATGCACCTTTTTAAACATTGATAAGACCAATTTAAACCCCGTTTTTTGCAAACCAGCCGTGAGAAACACAAGGACATACAGGTGAGGTTTCAGGGGGTGCCCCGACACAGACTCACCCGTCCTCGCGCACGGAGGGGCTCAGGAACCGCGCGGAGTCATCGTCGTGGCTGCTCTGCTGGCTGCTCTGCTGGCTGCTGCAACACACAACGGGCTCAGTCAGGGCTGGGCAGGCTCCTGGGGACACCCAGATCCCATCCTGGTGTCACCGAGCAATGGGGACACCCAGATCCCATCCTGGTGTCACAGAGCACCTGGGGACACCCAGATCCCATCCTGGTGTCACCGAACACCTGGGACACCCAGATCCCATCCTGGTGTCACAGAGCTCCTGGGGACACCCAGATCCCATCCTGGTGTCACAGAGCAATGGGGACACCCAGATCCCATCCTGGTGTCACCGAGCAATGGGGACACCCAGATCCCATCCTGGTGTCACAGAGCACCTGGGGACACCCAGATCCCATCCTGGTGTCACAGAGCAATGGGGACACCCAGATCCCATCCTGGTGTCACAGAGCTCCTGGGGACACCCAGATCCCATCCTGGTGTCACACAACTCTTGGGGACACCCAGATCCCATCCTGGTGTCACCGAGCAATGGGGACACCCAGATCCCATCCTGGTGTCACCGAGCACCTGGGGACACCCAGATCCCATCCTGGTGTCACCGAGCAATGGGGACAACCAGATCCCATCCTGGTGTCACAGAGCTCCTGGGGACACCCAGATCCCATCCTGGTGTCACACAACTCTTGGGGACACCCAGATCCCATCCTGGTGTCACCGAGCAATGGGGACACCCAGATCCCATCCTGGTGTCACCGAGCACCTGGGGACACCCAGATCCCATCCTGGTGTCACCGAGCAATGGGGACAACCAGATCCCATCCTGGTGTCACCGAGCTCCTGGGGACACCCAGATCCCATCCTGGTGTCACCGAGCTCCTGGGGACACCCAGATCCCATCCTGGTGTCACAGAACACCTGGGGACACCCAGATCCCATCCTGGTGTCACCGAGCAATGGGGACACCCAGATCCCATCCTGGTGTCACAGAGCACCTGGGGACACCCAGATCCCATCCTGGTGTCACCGAGCTCCTGGGGACACCCAGATCCCATCCTGGTGTCACAGAACACCTGGGACACCCAGATCCCATCCTGGTGTCACCGAACACCTGGGACACCCAGATCGCATCCTGGTGTCACAGAACACCTGGGACACCCAGATCCCATCCTGGTGTCACAGAGCTCCTGGGGACACCCAGATCCCATCCTGGTGTCACCGAGCTCCTGGGGACACCCAGATCCCATCCTGGTGTCACCGAGCAATGGGGACACCCAGATCCCATCCTGGTGTCACAGAGCACCTGGGGACACCCAGATCCCATCCTGGTGTCACCGAGCAATGGGGACACCCAGATCCCATCCTGGTGTCACCGAGCTCCTGGGGACACCCAGATCCCATCCTGGTGTCACCGAACACCTGGGGACACCCAGATCCCATCCTGGTGTCACACAACTCTTGGGGACACCCAGATCCCATCCTGGTGTCACCGAGCAATGGGGACACCCAGATCCCATCCTGGTGTCACCGAACACCTGGGACACCCAGATCCCATCCTGGTGTCACAGAGCTCCTGGGGACACCCAGATCCCATCCTGGTGTCACAGAACACCTGGGGACACCCAGATCCCATCCTGGTGTCACCGAACACCTGGGGACACCCAGATCCCATCCTGGTGTCACAGCACACCTGGGGACACCCAGATCCCATCCTGGTGTCACAGAGCTCCTGGGACACCCAGATCCCATCCTGGTGTCACAGAACACCTGGGGCACCCAGCTTCCATCCAGATTGAGCAAAACAGATCTGTCTGACCTAGTCTGGAACACTCAGCTTCAATCCAGATTGAGGTAACAGATCTGTCTGACCTCCTCTGGAACACTCAGCTTCCATCCAGATCTCACAGAACAGATTTAGGAGCTCTGGAACACTCAATTTAAATCCAGATTGAGGAAAACAGATCTGTCTGACCTAGTCTGGAACACTCATCTTAAATCCAGATCTCAAAAAACAGCTTTGGGAGCTCTGGGACACTCAGCTTAAATCCAGATTGAGGAAAACACAGATAGAGCTGGGTAACCTCCTCTAAAATACTCAGTTTAAATCCAGATTGAGGAAAACAGATCTGTCTGACCTCCTTTGGAACATTCAACTTCAATCCAGATCAAAAAACACATCTTCGTGACCTCTGGAACACTCAGCTGTAAATCCAGATCTCAAAAAACAGCTTTGGGACCTTTGGAACAGTAAACTTCAGTCCAGATCGAAGAAAACAGATCTGTCTGACCTTCTCTGGAACACTAATCTTAAATTCAGATTGAGGAAAACATCTCTGTGACCTCTGGAGCACTCAGCTTTGATCCAGATCACAAAAACCAGCTTTGAGACCTCTGGAACACTCAAATTCAGATAGAGGAAAGCACAGACAGAGCTGTTTCACCTCCTTTGGAACACTCAGCTGTAAACCAAGATTATAGAAAACATCTTTGTGACCTCTGGAGCACTCAGCCGTAAATCCAGATTGCAGAAAACATCTGGGATGTTTTCTGAAAACATGTGGCCTCTGGAACACTCAGTTTTAAATCTACATCAAGGAAAACACAGACAGAGCTGGGTAACTCCTCTGCAACACTCAACTGTAAACCCAGATTACAGAAAACATCTTTGTGACCTCTGGAACACTCATCCTAAATTCAGATGGAGGAAAACACAAGCAGAGCTGTTTCACCTCCTTTGGAACACTCAGCTGTAAACCAAGATTATAGAAAACATCTTTATAACCTCTGGAACACTGAGCTGTAAATCCAGATCCCAGAAAACATCTGGGACCAGAAACATGTGGCCTCTGGAACACTCAATTTTAAATCCAGATCAAGGAAAACACAAACAGAGCTGGGTAACTCCCCTGCAACACTCAACTGTAAACCCAGATTACAGAAAACATCTTTATAACCTCTGGAACACTCAGCTGTAAATCCAGATTGCATAAAACATCTTTGTGACCTCTGGAACACTCATCCTAAATTCAGATGGAGGAAAACACAGAGAGAGCTGTTTGACCTCCTCTGGAACACTCAGCTGTAAACCAAGATTATAGAAAACATCTTCGTGACCTCTGGAACACTGAGCTGTAAATCCAGATCCCAGAAAACATCTTTGTGACCTCTGGAACTCTCAATTTTAAATCCACATCAAGGAAAACACAAACAGAGCCGGGTAACTCTCTGGAACACTCAGTTTAAATCCAGATGGAGGAAAACATTTTTGTGACCTCTGGAACACTCAGCTGCAAACCCAGATCACAGAAAACATCTTTATAACCTCTGGAACATTCAGTTTAAATCCAGATCCCAGAAAATATCTTTGTGACCTCTGGAACACTCAAATTCAGATGGAGGGGAACAGATCCTTGTGACCTGTGGAACACTCAATTTTAAATCCAGATCAAGGAAAACACAGACAGAGCTGTGTAATTCCTCTGGAACAGTCAGCTGTAAATCCAGATTACAGAAAACATCTTTGTGACCTCTGGAACCCTCATCTTAAATTCAGATGGAGGAAAACACAGAGACAGCTGTTTGACCTCCTCTGGAACACTCAGTTTTAAATCCAGATTACAGAAAACATTTTTTGTAACCTCTGGAACACTCAATTTTAAATCCAGATTGATGAAAACACAGACAGAGCTGGGTAACTCCTCCGGAACACTCAGTTTAAATCCAGATTGAGAAAAACAGATCTTTGTGACCTCTACACTCAATTTTAAATCCAGATTGACAGAAACACAAGCAGAGCTGGGTAACCTTCTCTAAAACATTCAGTTTAAATCCTGATGGAGGAAAATAGATCTGTCTGACCTCCTCTGGAACACTCAGCTGTAAATTCAGAGGGAGGAAAACATCTTTATAACCTCTGGAACACTGAGCTGTAAATTCATATCCCAGAAAACATCTTTGTGACCTCTGGAATATTCAGTTTAAATGCAGATTGAGGAAAATACAAACAGAGCTGGGTAACTCCTTTGGAACACTCAGTTTTAAATCCAGATTACAAAAAAAATATCCTTGTGACCTCTGGAACACTCAATTTCAAATCCAGATCAAGGAAAACACAAACAGAGCTGGGTACCTCCTCTGGAACACTCAAATGTAAACCCAGATTACTGAAAACATCTTTGTGACCTCTGGAACACTGAGCTGTAAATCCAGATTGAGAAAACACAAACGGAGCTGTTTCACCTCCTTTGGAACACTCAGTTTTAAATCCAGATTACAGAAAACATTTTTGTAACCTCTGGAACACTCAATTTCAAATCCAGATTGATGAAAACACAGACAGAGCTGGGTAACTCCTCTGAAACACTAAACTGTAAACCCAAATTACAGAAAACATCTTTGTGACCTCTGGAACACTCAATTTAAAATCCAGATCCCAGAAAACATCTTTGTGACCTCTGGAATATTCAGTTTAAATGCAGATTGAGGAAAACACAAACAGAGCTGGGTAACTCCTCTGGAACACTCAGTTTTAAATCCAGATTACAAAAAAAACATCCTTGTGACCTCTGGAACACTCAATTTCAAATCCAGATCTCAGAAAACACAAGGTTCACGCTCCACATTTGGGGTTGAAAGCAGGAACCAACAGGAAGATTTGAGTTTAAATCTGATTCACAACCAGCACAATCCCAATAACTCCCAATAAATCCCCAAAAACTCCCAATAAATCTCAATAAATCCCAATAAATTCCCAAAAAACCCCAATAAATCTCAATAAATCTCTGAGGGTCTGGAGTCTCAATCCCACTGTGTGACACTTCCCTGAAATATAAAAATGACCTTGCACATCACCTGGACAGCATCTCATCACTTCTCACAGGCAAACACCAACACCAAGCTGCTGGGTGTTGATATCCTCCCCAGTCCCCGGCAGAAGCAGAAAAATCAGTAAAAAACCAATTTTGACTGAATTTCTGGCCAGCCTTGCAAGCCGAGCCCACAAGATGTCACTGTCCCCCCTGGAACGGGCGTTTTGTGGGCGATAAATTGAATTTCCTGCCCATTTATC